CAACCTCCTTGCCATGGGCAGGGACAGTTTCCACTAGAGCAGGTTACTCACAAAAAACTACAGATGTCAAGCCGTATTTTTTTGTTTGTCACATAATTTCATATAATTTATATATTTCTAAATTTAAAATAAAAAAAGACAAAAATAAACAAAAGCTGGCCATTCATTAGTGATCTGGGACAACTATATGAGGCATTAGGATTCTGATATTCTAAAAATCTTACTATGGAATAGACACAAAACCCACAATATATTCTTGATTACGAAAGACATCGCATGGGACATGTCACAACTACTGGTTTTTGGACAAGAATCCCATGCCATGGTTTATGCATTGTTATGATCACTGTTAGTGATGCAAGGAGCACTTTTTAAAAGTTCTACAGTTTGTTCCTCAGAAGCCCAAGAGCTTGCACAAATTCTCTTCCCTACAGCCATCAAAAGTGGAAGTAGACGACAGAGTTTTAGGTGAAAGCAGAAGGTGTTAATTGAGAGCACTTCTCACCTTGGGGACTGAGCTTGTTAAAACAAGGACATGAAAGAATGAGGAAAACAAATGCTCATCGAAGGGCAACACACTGCGTAGAACACAATCGAAGTGAGGAGAGGAAAAGGGGACAAGCCAGTCAGGGTTAATAGGTAGTAACAAAAAGGCATAAAACAGGAAAATAGTGATGAATGCCCGGCCTTTCAAGCAGAAGGACCCAGATAATGGTGTTTAAATACCATTCAGCAACTGTGGTTTAAAGATTATCTGAAAATGCAAATAAATGTAGACAAATGCAGCATTTATACAGAACAGGACAAACAGCTCTTGACAGAGTTCACTACGGTATGCAAGCCATCAGGAAAAGAAAATTATTAAAATCAGAATCTATTCACTTCTGCCACCCTAATCAACACCTCATAAAGAGCAACACAATTGCTTTGAGTTTTGGTCTCCTGGTGTTTTTGCTGGGTATAGCCAAGATTCCTAAAGAAAGAAAATTCCCCTGCTTAGATGAGTATTGTCCACCAAAATAACTCTTTGGTATTAGTCCGTATTTATTAATCATGGCAAGTTAAGGGTATTTCATCCCCCCTAAAAAGAGGCAAGATATAAACAATAGATGTTAATGCTTGAAAATAAACATACAATTTTTATTTCCCCAGGTAGGAACAACCATTCTGAAGGTATAAAAATGCATTTTTAAGCAGTAGTCAACCAAAGGGCACAAAAAAGATCAAATAAACAGTGTTCAATAAGATATTTACACACCGTGGGGTAAAGAGCTGCAGCAGAATTAGTATTATTGATGAAAGTGAGACTGTGTCACTAAATCCAACAGGACAAAGCCAGTTGAAGCACTGACTAGTTAAACTATTGATCACAAGAATTAGACACACACACACATACACAAAAAAGACCCTGTCCTTTAATAGACTCTGAAGACAGATCTCCCTGCATCCTTTGACATCAGTTGAGCTCTGACACACAAAGCTAATGACATGCTTAGAATCAACAAACAGGATAAGGAAATAAAAGGGAACTCCAAATCTACTTCAAACTAAAAATAAATAAAAAGGAGCATTTAAATACCTTTATTCTAGCTACAAATGACATACATCAAAAAGGCAAAAGCTAGAAGTCAAACAGATAACAGACCGTTATATCTACACAAACAGAAAATGGGAGAAGAAATTTAAAAGAAAGTTAGGAAGAAAAACCAGCAGAGAATTATATAAAGGAGTGCACTATTTAAAAAGATTAATATAAAGGCTGCTAAAGGTTAGAGAAAGAAATTGAAACATGCACAAAAGATGACAAAAAAAAAGGTGACAGTAAAAGAAAAAAGATCTCTAGGGGAACGACAACACATGCAGTCAAATATAGCAGCTACATCAAATCAGGTTTTGTACCAATTAAAGCCTCAAAGCAAGGGAAAAATCGAAAGTTGGATAGGTTACCCTAACATCTTAGAAAGCATCCAAAGAAATTACAGACCTCAGAATTGATCTTTAACAGAACCATACAAAAAAGACTAAATTAAGGAAAAGAGCAAACAGTTTTTTTTCCCCTCCTCCTCTTCTTTTTGGGAATGTGTACAGAAGAACATGAACCAAAGGCAAAAAAAAAATCCATAGAAAGATTCAATGAGCTTGAGATGAAAGCAAAATCCTACAGTTAAGTGCTGAGGCTGCAAGACACCTGAAGTTGGAGAAGCAATGTAAAAGCAGTGCTGTTTTGTAAGGTGCAATCCTTGGCTGATATTTGAGGAAATAACTCAAAACCAAACACTATCTCTTTGGGATTTTATGCAGTATTTTACCCAATGCTGAAGCCATTAGTCCACATATTTATTAACCTGATTAAGCATTAAAATATCCTTACTTTGATTAAAAGCAAGGATGGGGGACAGATTGTAATACCAGGTTAGTAAGGCTAGAGTGTCATGTTATACTGCAGTGAGGAGGTTAAGGATGAAAACAAACATCACCGCTGGAAGCAACACTTGTCACTTCAGGCAGATAACAATGCCAAGAACCTGCCATGCTATGAAGCCTTTATACAGAGTCAACACAAATGCAAAACCCTGATGTATACAGCTTTCTAATCTAGTAAGGAAAACAGAAGAATCTGGGATTTAGGTGTGAGTTGACAGTAATTCAGACTGCAGAGGAACCCAGACAGTCGCCCAGCAAAAGGGTTTCCAAACGCAGGAAATAAAGGGAGCACACTATTGATACCACCATCACCAGCCCAAGATATGTCCAATCTGCCAACAGCATATATGGAGGATTAGACAAGATTTTCACAGCTGCTATTGGCCTTCAGCCACTGTGCCTTCCCCAAAATCCAGAACTGACAACATTTACAGATAGGAAAGATCAACTTACGTAGTCTAAAGATGCACAGAAAACTGAAACTTCAGGTGAACTACATACAAATAAATGTCAAAGGGTATAAAAGCTACAATCAGAAATAAGGAAGAATGCTGGGAGGTACATGTCAGCTGTACACATTGCACTGTGATGACTAAAATAACTAAATTTTAAGCTGCCAAATACTTTTTATCAAAAACTTGCATTCACACGGTATTTTTCTGCTCCTTGGATGGTATTTTCCATTCTCTATGAATTATTTTCAAGGCAGCACTTGGATGCTGATGGTCTAATTTAAAACAAGGTTCAATATAACTGGCAAGGCTGAGCAGGTTTGAGAAACATCTTCCCTGAAAAACAGTATGCAACATTTCTTTGTCAAGCTTCTTTGCCTGATGAAAGCACTGTATTCAGTAAAAGCCAGGTAACTTTTTCCAACCGTATCTGTTGATCTAGTAGAAAACACTAGCATGCCCTGTGAATCTTCCTGTCTTTTACAAGGCTTATGCAAAATCCTTTCAATTATTTTGGATTTAAACACTAACACATTTTCCCATCAGCCTGTGAGAACAATTCAAAAACACGTGAAGTTTGATATTTAGAACTTAGTACCAAAAAAAAAAAGCATAATTACAGAGTAGGAAATCCCATTCAGCTACTAGCAAGTGCACCTGCATCTGGCAGGCATATGCCCAACAGATTTGGAGCAAATGGTGTTAGGGACTGAGAAGCAAATGGTTTTTAATTCTCCAAGCCTGCTGCAGGGCAGGAACTGGAAGGCAGCAGCTACCTCAGAATGGCAAATCCAGGGGGAGGCAAGGGAAAGAAGGTTTTAATTATAATACAAACATGAAGTTCTAAGTACCTTAATGAAGAATGACCTGAAAGTTACTGAATTATGGCATGGGCAAAGTTGCAGGTGTGACTGCAGTGAGGTGGACGTACAAAGACAGTCTCACTTCTCAAAGAGTGCCAAGACAATCTATTTTTACAAATTAACAATGTGTATGGTCTGTGTGTACAAGGAGGGGGGGCACATCAATAACAAAACAAAACCCCCAGTGAACTTACAGGGAATCCATTACAGGAACACCACTCTTCTCTACAGTTTAAATCTGCTTTCCAGTGACTCAGCTGGCAAACTTCCAAAAAGCCTTTTCCCACTCAATTTTAAGAACCATTAAACAAGAAGTGAATAAAAATATGGATCCCTTCAGAAAAACGGTGTAAAATAAAACAGTACAAACAAGAAGTCTTTTGCAGATTTTCAGGTTTCTGGGACAAAGAAAGTTATACCAACTGCCTTTAACCCCAAAATGAAACAAGCTACGTTCGTACATTCAATGCTCAGCATATGATGCAATTCATACAGAAGCTGTATGAATTAAGCTAAGAAAATCTCAGTACTAGAAAAGCAGAAATTACAGTTTCTGTGTTTAAGTCCTTTACATGCAGCTATTTAACAAATGTTGCATTGCCTTGTTTATATGTATTGTTCAGTTAACACTGATTCTGTAATCTCTGTGAGGGGATCAGTGGATTTCCAACATACAGCTTTAAAAATTTCCCAAACATGACATAATGTTCACTTCCACAATTGACTAAAATTCACAAATTCTCCATGTGACAGTGGGCTTCCCAATCCAGACATGAACGAATGGGAGACTAACAAAGTTTTATGTATGTATAGATGCTTCAAAATAACAAAATAACACAGAAAAAAACATAAAATTGGACCCAAAACACTTCTGATGAATATGCAAATGGTGATTCCCAGTTCAGTATCTAGACAGACATTAAACAGTTCATTCTGTCACACCATCTGCTAAGTAGTTACCAACCCTGCTCTGTTCTCTATGCTATTAGAGCTTTATTTTTATTTTTAAGCATGGAGCCATTCAACTTATGTGGAAGTCAGATAAAAGACACAGTGGTCAACTTAAAGAAAAAATAAAAGAAATCGGAGAGCGATACAAAAAATACCAAGTTTCATGTCAGTAATAAGGAGAACCAAAAAATTCCTTCTAAATTACACTACAAACAAGTTTATGTTCAACAAGTCATGAAAGCTTAAGCTTTAAGGGAAAACACTATGACTAGTTCAAATGCCACAATGAAAACTTATTTATTTGCCTTACTTTCAGAATATCTTGAGTTTCATTCCACTTGTTTGTCCACTCTTTGGTCAGTTCTTGTACCTATGAAAGAAAACAAATACTGAAAAAAATCTCATCTCAAGTCCTTAATGCATTCTCGCAGAAGAACTACGTATTGCTGCAATTCTTTGAGAAGTTTAATACTTCAACATTTAGAAGAACAGTGTTGCTCCTGCAATAAGTTGCCACACCTACAATACCTCTCCCTCAAAACACAAAATTCTTATTTACAGTATAAAATGTTTCATTCAGGGATGGTCACATCACATAATGGGTTTTCAAAGAAATATAGAATTATTCCATTAAGTGCTTCAGCAGCCCTACAAAGTTCACTGCCACAGACTGATCCCTTAGGTGTAACAGGACAACTCCCTTCCTATGGCACAGGTAGGCATGTCCAGGCTAAGCTCCCCTCCAGAGGATGGCATGCAGAGGAAGTAGCAGAGACCAGCAGCCTTCAGGAGAGAACCAGAGCAAAGTTTGCTGTAGCGTAGAAACCACACACTTCATTGACATCAGCACCGGAAGTGAGAAGATGTTAGAATTGGTATTACAGACATTGGGAGCTCTGGGTACAGAATCATAAAATCATTTAGGTTAGAAAAGACCTTAAGATCATCAAGTCCAACTGTTTAACCCAGCACTGCCAAGCCTACCACTAAAGCACATCCCTCCTAAGCGCTACATCTACACATCTTTTACATACCTCTAGGGCTGATGACTCAATGACTTCCCTAGGCAGCCTGTTCCAACGTTTGACAAATGTTTACACAAAGAAATTTTTCCTATCACTTGTTAGCCGGGAGAAGGCTGACCCCCGCCTCCCTGCAGCCTCCTTTCAGGGAGCTGCAGAGAGCAGTAAGTTCCCCCCGGAGCCTACTTTTCTCCAGGCTGAGCCTCCACAGCTCCCTCAGCCGCTCCTCATCAGACTGGTGCTCCAGACCCTTCACCAGCTTTGCTGCTCTTCTCTGGACTCAATCCACCACCTCAGTGTCCTTCCTGAATTGAGGAGCCCAGCACTGGACACAGGACTCAAGGTGTGGCCTCACCAATTCAGAGTACAGTGGAAGAATCACTTCCCTAGTCCTGCTGGCCACACTGCTCTTGATACAGTCCAGGATGCCATTGGCCTTCTTGGCCACCTGGGCACACGCTGGCTCATGTTCAGCCACTGTTGACCAGCACCCCCAGGTCCTCTTCCACTGGGCCACTTTCCAGCCACTCTGGCCCCAGCCTGGAGCACTGCAGGGGGTTGTGGTGACTCCAGGGCAGGACGCACCCGGCACTTTGCCTTGTTGAACCTCAGACCACTGGCCTCGGCCCTTTGCTCCAACCTGTCCAGATCCCTCTGCAGAGCATTCCTACCCTCCAGCAGGTCAACACTCCCACCCAACTCAGCATAGTCTGCAAACGCACTGAGGGTGCACTTGATCCTATTGTCTAGGTCACTGATAAAGATACTAAACAGGACTGGGCCCAAAAGTGAGCCCTGAGGAACACCACTGGTGACTGGCTGCCAAATGTATTTAACTCTATTCACCACAACTACAGCAGAGTGCACTCATCCAAGCCCTGAGCAGACAGTCCCTCCACAGAATCAAAGGTTTTACTGAAGTCCAAGTAAACAATATCCACAGCCTTTCCCTCATCCACTAGGCAGGTCACCCTGGCATAGAAGGAGATGAGGTTGGTCAAGCAGGACCTCCTTTCTTAAACCCTGCTGACTGGGCCTGATTCCCCTGGTTGTTCTGTACATGCTGAGTGATGGCTCCACGACCTTCCCCAGAACAGAGGTCAGGCAGACAGAATGCTTAAAATTTGTCCTTCCTTTCCTACTCATCCCATTATCCACCTTGTAAGTTACCTTTCATATAAACCCACTGTAGAAAAAATCAAATCTTCAGTTGCTCCAAACATCTCCACATTTGCCACCCGCCTACTTTGCTCAGTGTCCTTGCAGGTCAACTGAAAACTAATCCATGGGAACTACAGACACTTCACTCATCTCTGCCTGTATCTGAAGATTTCAACAAAGACAAGTAAGCACATCTTTCAACACACCATCATCATTCATAGTGCTGCTAATTGGAATGTTAAAACAGAATAAATTTTATAAGATTAAAGAAAAACATGAAGATCTACCATAGGTCTATTCACCATACCAGAACAATTTGTACTGCTCAGAAACATTTCATTTTTAATTTCATTTAAAAAATGAAACATTTTTAAATTAAACAATTTGAAATCACTCTTGTATAAGGAAGATCAACTCATTAAAGAAAGCCACCATATACTTGTCAGATAATTTAAATATGGTGATAAAGTCTTTAGATCTGTATAAACAAATTAATTATTGCACTCATTCAATTATAAAAAGCCATAACCACTGCAATATCCGCTACGAATTTTCAGTAATTATGTCTATTGTAATTATCACGAATGGTAATCACATAACCTTTTAATGAGGCTGACAAAAGATAATAAAATATGCTCGATATACTCCCCACACAGAGAGGCCAACACTTCTGAGCAAGACAAGCTGTGATTACTGTCAGAGCATGAATAACATACTCTAATTAGCATACAGTCAGCAGTTTATATTCCTCGGCTAATCTTAGATAAAAGCTTTTCATTTGTACTCAAAAATAAAACTAAGGATATAAATAAAACAGGATTCCCAAAGCAAGGCATTCATTCTCTAACTCTAAAGGACCATTTAAACCAGCTAAGAAGCTCCTATTTTTTAAAGGCATCATATCTACATTTGATTGGCATCTTGTTGACAGTATTCAAAATTAAATCTTTGCTGCCATGTAGCTGATTAGTTTCAAATATCTCCCTCTTGCCTCTTCCAAAGTCTGCCCAATACTATTTTTTTTTTAAACCAGTTTGCAGTAGCTTTAAATGAGAGCATCATTATATCTATATTCTTTTATCTAAACTGTCTGGGAATGTTTTTTCCAGCCTCTACACTTGGATGGATTATTGAAACAATTTGGTGTGAAGTACATTTCAAAGAGCACCTAGATCTCAGACCCTCTTTAAAAAAAGACATCTAATTAGGCACTGAACATATTTATGCGTACCAGATATAAATACTAAAATTTTCTAAAAACCCACAACACAAATTATTAATTACTTGAAAGCATAGAAAAGAGTTGACTATTTTCCCCACGAATCTTTACAACCTTTTCTACACACTGAATATTTTGTAACTTGCTACTTATTACTATGATTTAGTGGCATTTCCCCCTCTAGTCTATCTACAAACATACTTGTTTAGTAAGACAAGCTGGCCTGGGAAAAAATCTTTTTATGCAATAGAACTGGTATATAAATATAAAAGATATACTTTGTTCTTAGATATAATGTTATCTTAGGATAACAAAATTACAAATTCACACACTTTTTTTTTTTAATAGCACCAAGACAACGCTCTTTGATGGGACAAAACTTAGTTGTGCATAAAAATAATCCTGAAAATTACCAACACTCCTACATCCAGACTGCCAGCTTTTCCCTTTTTTTTTTCTGTTGTTTAAAAACTGTTTTATAAAATTATAACTCACCCTTGCTTCATTCTGCTGAAGCTTTTCTTCCATACTTAAAGCTGTTGGAGAATCCAAGAGTGCAATCTAAAATTGTAAAAAGTAAACATCAAGTCAAAAAGAAAGAAGAATAACAACGTTTGGGGGAATCAAATGAAATGCACTGTTCAACTTTTTTTGATTCTTTAGCATAAAATCCCTTAATATACTTAATTTTACCTTGAAATACTGTAAACAGAACAATCAAACTCTTGTCAAATCAGATATTTCAAATACAAATTGGTTTGAGAGTACTATTTTCCCACACATAGTCACACACATGCAGACACTGAAACCAGACATGTTTATAACAGGTAACTCCTGATACATCTTTCTTTATACTTCTGTTAATCACGAAAATTTATTATGCATGAAAAGTTAACCACTTTGCTGTAATATGTATGTATATTGCTTATTTTTAGTAACTATATATTAAGGTAATTAGTCTTAAAAGAGGGAAAACTACTGTACAACGCACACATCCAAGCAGTGCTCATTGTTATATGACCTTCTACACTGAATCCAGCACTGTATTTTGGTAATCAGCACCTTCAGGTCTACAAAAGCATTTGCAATACAGCATTCTGGGAATACAAAGGAAAACCACAAAAGAAATTATACAGAGATTTATATTCTACTGTGCATACATAACACATCACCTGCTGTTTTATCAACCATCACAAATTCAATTAAGTTGAGCAAGTTCTCTGTTGTCTCCCACACAGCCATCTATCACATCCTACCACTGAACCAGATTTATTTTGTGATATCCACTGTTTTACAGCTTGAAACTAGGTCAAAGCATTAGATCTTCAAAGGGGTCCATGTTACATCTACTTTGCTAACTCTAAATCAAAGCATAATTTGAAAATAAATTAACTTTCCTCTCCTAAAAATATGGGAGAACTGTAAGTATAATCAAGTAATTGAGCTCCATCAAGAATTTTCTAATTGTTTATAACAAAGCAGAGCTCTCTGCTTCATTCATCTACAATACCTATTTCTGCTTCCAACTGTGGTCTCATCCCCTTTTAAAGCTAATGTTTTATAGTACAAAATCCAGCTGAGGTATTAGTCTTTATTAAAAAAATCCATGCTGAACTGACATTTCACATTGTACAACCTTCTAAAATAAAATTAGATAATTCTAGAGATAAAAATTATTTCAGATACTTCCAAACTGTATTTGCTCAAGTATGGCATCTAGCAGTTCTGAGTGATATTACTCAGAAGAGACAACTGGTCTGAGCCAACTGCAAATTCCTTATTGTTAAGCTTGGTTTCACCATCCTGGGAATGCAGGAGAAACTAAACCTAACTGAGCCTGTGCAGCAAACGTTTATAGCAGCTTATACTGACAGAGCAAAAAAAGATAATCATGCAAAAGGGAAGCACAGAATGATTTGTGTTTTCCTACACTATTTTTACCTATTTAGCATGTTATGTGCCTTCTAACGGACTCTGCAGCCAAACACAAATAAAACGTACTGTTCAAACCCATTCATACTCTTACATTTTTATATTTATGCATCTTAAATACTTAAAACTTTCTAAAATACTTGAAACTTTCTATTTATTTTAAGATACTACATAAAGTACCTCTTCAGTTGATCAAGTTAGACACAGAAAATGTCCCAGCTCAGTCTCCTCATGCTGTGGTGACTACCTGTTCCACAGCACACTGCAATCAAGCTCTGATTATACCAAGAGAAACCTAAAAGCTTTGGGATAACAATTCTTCCCCCCTTATTTAAAAGAGGTAATCTGCTGGCCATATGGAAACTGACTCAATCAGGAAAATAATATTCATTCATAGCCTCATGGAGCTTGTTTACTCAAATCAATATAATGAAAGATAATTATCCCATTACATTCTAGAAATAGATGGTATAACTCAAGGAAAATTACACATAAATTCCAAGTAAAGCTAACCTGATTCCCCTGAGCAAGCAGGGCTTTTAATCGGGCTATTTCAGCTCTCAGCTCACGGATCAGTTTGACGTTGGGATCCTCATTAATAGTAGGCTTGTTGATGATGTTTTTGGCTCTATTTGCATAGCGAAGTGTACTTAAAGTTTCACCGTAATTGACATCAGCAGGTGAAATAGCTGAGGAGATGAAATCAGAAACAGTTTATCCAGCACCATATGTTTCACTTACTAAAGTTAGTTTATATTTTAAAAGTCAGATAAACTTAATGTGGATGAAGAGACAGGAATAGACAATTAACCAGTATGGCTACAATCTGTTCCAACTCTGCACCCAACTCCACTGCTTTCATGTCACTGTAACTCTGCATAAGTAAACACTGTATGAGATTAGTGTGTTAGAATAATCAGAAAAATGTTGAGTATTTTAAAAGTACCAACATAATCATTGAATGGAAAAGACATTTCAGGTAAAACAGAGTGGGTTCAGTCCTTTTAAAGGGAAATTAAACAGAAAATTAAAAAGAAATTAAACACAAATTAGACATGAAAACCAAAACAAGAGCTTCTATAATTTAGAAACCTAGCTGTTCTGAGCTGCAGGCATCTGGCAGCACACAACTGTTAGCTATCCGATGCATCAAGAGAAACCAATACTATTTTTACAAGCAACCTAAGCAGGAAAAGCAATGGACTTTAATTAAAGTGCAAATGCTATCCTTCCCTCAATTTTCCTAACAATATATAGGGTATTCCCAATTAAAAAAAATAATGTCTGCACCCAAATAGATGAGCAAAAACACAGAAGTGAACACCATCCAGAAGTGATGAGGGACCAGGAATCCTAATGATCAAACTGAACAAGAGACCCAGAGAATCAGACAATGAAAACACCTGAAAAAAATAATCAAGTAACTAAAATATTCTGTCCTTTCTCATTCTCTCAACAGTAATAAATATTCTTCTTGTCACAGAGACTCCCTGAATTATGGGAGATGCACTTGGCAACAGACTACACTTCATCTAGCTCACACTATCACTTCTCTGCTTTATCTACTGCCTCCTCTCCACTACTCAATTATTCTTTTTCTGGAAGGATGTTACAAAACGATACAGAAATATGACAAACCAGAATTGGATGTATTTTTATAACAGCTTTTCTATAGTTTGAAATGATCTTCCTGCATGTTTTTGTGCTTAGTTACAGAAAAGGCAGGCCAAACTTATCCAGACAGCTTGTCAGGCTCTGTTAGGCAATTCAGCCACGTTACCAGTAGAGTTACTGCTGGAGACAAGATCAACCATCAGGGCTCTGCCTCGAAGAGGCATCGCTAATAGATGGGGAAGTAGCTAAAAAAGAAGCTGGGCACTGTAGTCATTAGTACAGGCATTGAAAGCTCACTGTGTTTCTAAAACTTCTCTTCCCAATTCCTCTGTCAAAAAAAAAAAAAAAAAAAAAAAAAAAAAAAAAAAAAAAAAAAAAAAAAAAAAAAAAAAAAAAAAAAAAAAAAAAAAAAAAAAAAAAAAAAAAAAAAAAAAAAAAAAAAAAAAAAAAAAAGTTACTCAAGCATGTCACTGCGAAAAAAAAAGCATCAAGAAGAAAGTTGCCAGCACAGCATTACTTAAACAGCCAGAAAGGCAAAGCTGAGTCTGGTCCAGACCTTTTGCTGGCACTACTATGATTAGCCTGAGGAAAAGAAGTGGCATGGATTCCAAAAACATCCCCAAAATCATGCAACAAGGAACTGCTATCCAGAGAATTTGACTGTAACAAAGTGACTGAAGAGCCAGAATTTGATGTGATGCATTTTATACCCTCATTTTTGCTCTCCTACCATTCCCCAAAAGAGGAGTGCATCAGTTGAGACCATGTTTCCCTTGAGCAGGAAAGAGTGAGAAAAGTTTCAGAGCTGCTCTTCTCCTCACACCCAGGGGCACCAGGACAAGCTTGGGAGCCTTGTGAGGTGAAAGTCCAACTGCAAGCTGCTGCACCTAGGTCAGGGTAATGCCAGACATGAGTATAGACTGGGAGAAGAATTCACTGAGAGAAGCCCTGTGGAGAAGGACTCGTGGATTTCTTTTTGGTGGATGAAAAGCTGTGCTTGCAAGCCAGAAAGCCAACTGCATCCTGGGCTGCATCAAAGGCAGTGAGGACAGCAGGTCCACGGAGGTGATTCTCTCCCTCAACTTTGCCCTTGTGAGACCACATATGCAGTGCTGCACCCAGATCTGGGGCCCTCAGCACAAGAAGATGTTGATCTGTTGGACTGGGTGCAGATGAGGGCCATGAAGGTGATCAGAAGGATGGAGTACCTCCGCTATGGAGACAGGCTGAGAGAGCCGGGGTTGTTCAGCATGGAGAAGAGAAGGCTCCAGACAGACTCCACTGCAACCTTTCAGTACTTAAAGAGGCCTTATAAAAAAGGGGGAGAGCAACTTCGTATACAAGCAGATAGTGATAGGACAAGGGGGAACAGTTTTACACCAAAAGAGGTTGACCAGAGAAGCTGTGGATGCCCCATCCTGGAAGTGTTCAAGGCCAGGCTGGATGGGGCCCTGAGCAGCCTGGTCTAGTGGAAGGTGTCTCTGCCCATGGCCAGAGGGGTGGAACTAGACTATCTTTAAAATCTATTCCAACACAAACCATTCTGTGATTCCACAATCTCCAACATCCAAAATCCTCTCCTCCCCTTAAACATTCTCCTGGCTTCACTAGGGGTTTTTGGGAATGGAATTCCCATTCCAATTTGTTGACAAACCTGCAATACACATGCCATGGGTAGGGTTTTAAACCAAGTGATCCTTACAGAGCATCCTACAGGTAAAAAGGAAACCCTAAGAGAAATTTGCAAGATGACTGAACACAAACAACTAAATTTAGACAAAAAGTTAAAACACTGTGTGCATTCAGTGGGGTAAATAAAAATGACAGTCTTCCCCACAGGATGTCAAAAGAGAACAGGTTGTTTCTGCTACTAATGCAACAAAAAGCAACACAGTTTGGAACAGCAAACTGATTAACAAATTTGTACTGACTGGATGCACAAAGCCTTACTTACACTCTTTAAAGAGTGTAAGTAATGACAAGAGCATTACTAGAAAGCTCAGATAGAAAGAAACCATTAATATGTGTAAACAATGTTCTGCCTTAACAAAACATCTGGAATCTAAATATTTACAGCCACTCCTATTAAGCACAAACTGTTTAGAATGCAAAAAAAGTAATTTAAAAACACTTACTGGCAATCATTATAGTTTTAGAGTTTCCTCCTAGGCTATCTTTTAACAGCCAAGTCAACACAGAGTCCCTGTAAGGCACAAATACTTGTTTCTTCTTTGAAAGTGGATTTGTTGCATCCTGAGATAAATCAGCTGTGATGTGGAAGTAGGAAAAAAAAAAGGCAATTATGTATTTTCATTCATTTTCAAAACCAGTATGTGTTAGGCCACTATTTGTGTAAGTAAATAAACAGAAAGGTACTTAATGACTAAAAGAAACCTCAAGACAGACAAGCACAAAAAACTGGAGACTCACCTAAGGCAGAAATTACGTTTCCCAGAGTAACTAGAGATTTGTTAATATTCCCTCCTTCCTTTAATCTAACCCCTGTGGCACCAGTGGCATCTGCTCTCTCACTTCCAGCAAGATCTACCAAATGAATCTTGCTAACAGTTTCACAAGGCATTTCAGAATCAAATTTAGCCTACAGAAAAGAAAAAAAAAAACACAAACAAACAAAGAAAAATATGTTAAGCTATGAAACGCTGCAATTTTACTAAATCTAATTAAGTGGCCTTTTTCATGACACAACCGAATTTAACTTGTTTACAATAGCAGAGGTTCAGAAGACGGGTGTATTAGAGGTGCCAGAGAAAGGCATTTGATAATAAATTGCTGCATAACTCCCAAATTATTTCTTTAAATTATAATGTTTGCAACTTTCTAGCCACTTACAGACAAGCAGTGACACTGAGTTGGAATTTACATGATGCACAGTGAACATGTGCTGTATTCATTTTATTAAGCTTACAACATTTATATTCATATTTAGCTTTCAACAAGTCATAGCATGAACAGACATTTACACTCCATTTCTTTTCCACCTCCAAGTTCAAGTGACAATTGCAATTTTTTTGTTTTTAACTGAGGTTTCCTCCCAATTTTTTTGTCTCATTTCAGATAAATTAACTCAGAATGCCCTGTTTCAAACCTCCTTCTACTTTCACAGTACAACAATAGAACAAAACCTTTTGCTGCCTGCCTCTCATCCTCTTCTGAAAGCTTTGCAATAAGCAACTCATCATTAGTGAACAGCGGGTGCATGGGGGGTGTGTGTGTGTGTTTTTGGGAGGAGACATGCAAAGTTCTGACTGGAGAGGAAACCACTTCCATACTGCCATCTCTGCATCCAGCAGGTTATCCATGGGCTGTCTAAAAAGCACACCCAAAAACACTGACGAAGAGCAGGAGTCAATAGAAAAGGAATTTACTACATATAAAGCAAAAGGATCACTATGCGCTGACGAAATGTGTCAAATCTCTCCAGGGAGTTTTGTTTTGTTACCTGAGTGAAGTTGATTGTGAAAATGGCATGAGACCTGCTACTGACATCATTCATTCCAGTGGCAGCCGTTGTCCTATTTATATTTCCTGCTTCCATAAGTTCCTCTACATCAGTATAATTTTGCACTAAATGTTTAGACAAGTCTAAAGAAAAGCAGAGTGTTACAGTATGCTCATACATGCATGTGATTTTACTTTACAAGAGGATTCAAATTACCCTCACTACTGCAAAGCATTGCTACAATTAGTGTTTATTGTCACACCAGTTTGTCACTTAAGGAAAAGAATGAGGCCTCATGAGAACAGTGGACAACTCACACATTTACAGTAAATAAGAAAAAAATATGCAATCTTACTAAATTATTTAGGGCAATAACATGAGCATAATCCCACAAGAGACGTGAACCTTCCCTGGTAGAGAGCAGATTAAGACAATTAGATCCTAATAGGTTCCTAAACATTTAATATTTATAAATTACAGTCAACAAAGTATTAAAACCAATTGAACTCCCAAGACTATTTTATAATGTTATACATTTATAGATAAAAAACTACATAGTAATCTTAGAATTGGGAAAGCAAGTCAAGATGCAAAATGAGAGGCTTTTTACCAAAGCAAAGCACTGTATTGAACATCCTTTATATTTTAAAAGATAAAATGCCCTATGCAATTAGACATTACACTTTAGAATATATGAAGGTAATAAAATATCCAGCGTAGAACACTGGAAGTGTTTTTACCCTCAACATACGGCCCTTCTTTTGGATGTTCTCGTATTCGTAAATTATTGGTTTTTGACGACTTCCTTCTGAGAAGATCTCTCACACGTTCATTATAAATTTCCAGATAACTGAAAGAGAAAGAATAAAAAGCCACTGACTGATTCAAGAGCCTTTAAAAAAAGGAAATTCATGTGAACACTGTGTTTGAACACAAGATGCTTGGAGAAAGAAAATAGATCCAAAGTTGGCTTAAGACAGAAATGACTACAACTTATTGTATCATATGGAAAAAAGCCAAAAAAGCAAAAAGCAAGTGGAAAGGAAGCAGGCATCAGCAAGATCGAGATCTGCCAATGTCAGCCTGAAATAAAGGTTAAAAATAAGGAAGATGCTGTCCAGTAGCAAAGGCATTTTCACTGTCATTTAAATGAAGCAAAATGCTCAGCTCCTGGGTTGACGTTACAAGTGCTGTGCATTTGGACTGCGACTGCCAACAAAAATCAATTATAGGACTGAGGCCAAGCGTAGAAAGTTATTTTTGAAGAACACACACTTTTTTCAGAGATAAAATGAAACAGGGTGGTTGTAACTGAAATAAGTTTGATTACCTGGTAACTGTTAACATGTCAAGACCTACCTGACCTCTGTTCGAAATGATGCCTCATTCCGCTTTGTTTTTTCACTTATTTGGCTGAATAATCCTTCACAAATTCGAGGTATCAAACCTGCATCACCCTGCAACAACAACCATTCTTATTTCCAAGGTCATTTATGCATGCACGATCTATTTTGGAAAAGTAAAACCCAAGGTGACTAGTTGTGAGTCTCAGCATCCAGAAAAAGGAGGAAAACCAAAACTTTTCAGCAAATACTCTCTTGCCCTTTATTTAATTGCAGTTAGCTTGCCACTTTAACACTTGTGTGTGTGGAATGTATACACTAGCTCCATTTCTCTGCTACTGGGATGTGTTTTGTCCCTCTCACTCAGTTTGAATAATCCAAAACTAGCTTAAGGCAGAAACTGGTTCCTCATAGCATAGATGAACTGCCTTATCTCACTAGTATCTTATCTAACTGCTTCTCTGTGGACTTGGCAACAACTCCAGAGAATGGGATAAGAGCCATATACATGAGCCATTCTCATTCAACACCCCCATCCCCAGCTCACAGTCCTTTCTGTCTCGAAAGATGCAGCAGATCCTCTGGATAAATTAGCACGCAACAACAAAATTTAACCTACGTTCACTGTATCCCACAATGCTGCCAAATTAAATTTGATATTTAACTTCTGAATGTTTGACTGCAGTTAAAGAGAGGTTTTTTTATCCATTAAGTGCTCGGTTGGTTTAATAAAGCAATCTGAAAAAACCTATTTCTTCTCACAGCTCCCTACAGACTGTAGTTTACTAGCAGGGCTGCAACTACCCATTACAGGGCCCTTGCCACTTCAACTAACACAGTAGCAGCAGGATGTCAGCTTCTGGGTTAAGCTGGCACTTGAGAATCCAGCCTCATCCCAGTGAGGCTGCTGCTCCACCACTGATGTCAAACACGTGCCAGACTGCAGGGCAGCAGCTACCACTGAGATACCCAGAGACTCTGCATGGAGCTCTCCTCTTCCCGTTGCTCCAGGGAGAGTCCTTTCCAGGCAAACAGTAAGCCACAAGGCTTCTCCCCAGCAGCAGAGAGGAGCGGAAGAGGGCCATGCAGCTCTGGTCTCATCTGATAAGGGGCCACATGCCCCCAGCTGCCCCATTCCCACCAAGTCTGATGAGGTAGATGACCAACTACCTGCTGAGCACACCTCCTCCCCATCGCTTCAGGAAGGCAGCAGCTAATGCTCCTTCAGAGCCAGGGCTCCCAGGAACAAAGGGAGAGGACATATACATACAGATGAGCTTTGGGCTCAGAGCTCCAGGCTCAGAAGCAGCTTACAAAACAGTCTGTCAGCTACAATTTGCCTGCAGTCTAAAAATGCGTAAGAGATTTGATGCGATGGACTAATCCTAATTCTATTCACCACTGAGGCAAGAAATGCTCTTGTGCCTCAAGTCAGGGGCCTTGTAATTAAGCAGGAGGCAAATTAGGACAAACCAGACCAAACATCCAATGTGAACACAGCCCAGACACTCCAGGCACCTAAGAATTTGCCTGGTGGGATTGTACAGGTAACTGGCAGCAGGACAACATGAAGCCAGTGGGCTCCCCTGCACCAGACTCTGGCAGGGTGAGTGTTCCATGAGCAAAGATTTCTCTTCTACTCGGACCCCTACATAAAGTCCAAGCCTTTTTGCCAAAGCTCACTCCAGTCTGCTCCCACACTAGTCCCTCTGTCCTCATTCTCTGTCCCACCAATCATCTTCCAGGTGCCATCTCTGAGCTCCTCTTCCTCTTTCCTTTGCCCAGACATAATTGAGTCACTTTTTTTTTTAATCATACTCTACATCTCCATTTTGCCCTTTCCCAACTTATTCCTCCTTTAATCAGAGCCTCACTGTCCTTCTCAAACCAGGCTTCATTCTTTGAAATAATAATCTGTTCTCTTCTCCTCTCATACCTAGTTGTTCAGATGACAGCACTTTGGGTTAAAATAAAAAACCAACTCCTAGATAAAGGGAGAAACTTGCAGAATAATCAGGCTTTTCTTTTGAGACAGTTGCCTTTGGCAACAGAGGAGCATCCTTTCCCAATATGTATCAATTATCAATCTCTACTTCCAGGTAAAGTTTCAGGGGTCGGTGTTGGAAAATTCCCACTTACATTTTATTTTAATTTTTTTTTTAACACAGGAAGAGGAAAAAGACTTTTCTTTCATCTCACGCTTGGAAACACCTGAATAGTTTTAATTAAAGCTTAAGGGAAAATACATGAAAGATCTATCACAAAGTTTTAGGCAAATCATTAGTGTCTGACATAGTTTAACAACTGCAAAGAAAGGCTTAAAATATGAAGAACTAGCTCTAATTGAGTAACTTCAACCATAGCAATACAGTGATGAGGAAGGAAGAACACACAGTTCCCAGAATATTATATCAGTAAAATGCACATCTTAAAGAATGTACACTCTTCATTAGAATCTATATTTAAACTTTTTCTCCATTTTCACCTCCTACATCTCTCCAGGGCAGGATCAACTACATCTTTGACTTTTTTTTCTTTCTGAGCTACAGAGTTTCCAGACATGGAAATCAGAAGAACCCAAATAGGTAGTTCACTCCAGAGATGAATTTTCTCACTAAAAGCCTGTTCTCCTTCTGTGCTACCTAACCAGAAAACTCGTACTGCAATTTAAATGTACTGGTTTTTACCCATGTACCTTGACCACAGGGAATAAACTACTCCCTTCCTTTCTGCAGCAGCCTTTCATGCCTTGGGAGACTTTTACTCTCTCTTAGTCTTCCCTGCATACACAAGTCTGACTTTCCTGATAGATCACATTTTACAAATCTCTGTTTATTTCAGTATCTCTGCTCAAGAGTTACTCTATCTGGTCTACATATTTCTTGAAGTGATTACTGCACACAGAATTGCAGGAGAAGCCCTGCAGCACCAAGAAGAGCAGATATGGAAAGTAAAATGAGAATAGAATCCAGACGTTTTATTTAAAGAGTCCAGAGTTTTTAAAGAGAAGCAGGGAAAAAAGAATATTTATTTCCAATTCAAGTTTTCTTATAGCACTGTAGTTTCTCTGACAGGACCATCAATTTTCAAGCATTTAACTTGCCAGCTGAGTATATTTTATATGCGCTCTGTACAAAGCCAGATTAAAGTATTTATGTATCATGGCAAGAAGATTAGACCTTTATTATTGAATAATGTCAAACAAACTTCAGCACCTATTCATTTGCAAAATGTCTTGATGATTACAGTCATTACATACAGTGAGGTAGTCTCATAAAAATGTCACTTTTATAAATTTCTGGAATAGAAATCCACATCTAGGTCATAACATCTTTTCTGGTTACAAAAGTCTATTCTGCTTATGATATTGAAGTTAAATATAAAGCTACTTATTTTGTGGCAACTGAAAGAAAAAGATTTACAGCTAATTTACTCTCCTAAGCTAGAGGAGCTGCAAAGTGCCCAATCTTACATTTCAGAAGAGTGATCTATCTAAGGAAGGACAAGTGGCAATATTCCCCTTTTCATTTCCACCAGGAGAAGATACAATATATTTCTTTTCCCAAGGACTGAAGAATGAAACCTGCAGAGGCTGCCTGGCAAACAGGCTTCATCAGTCAGCCTTTTTAAACTGCTCCACTCCCAACAGTTCAGTGGGTTCTCTCTCTCCTTGGACAGTCGTGGAGGCATCTGCAAGAAGCTACTCCCATCCTTTCCTCACAAACTGCCAAATACTCCTCCTATCACACCTTCCTCTTCCAGGGTCTTCACTGCAGTGCTCAACATGGCTTAATCCTTAAAATTAAATTTACTATATCACATAAGGGTGTGCTGAACTACTCTCATCCCATTTCTGCTCCTCACCTGAAAGCCTTCTCTAAACAGGGGTCAAAGATTTATTTTAGTCTTCTATCTCTTCAAAAAAAGGTCTAAAAAGCACATCTCTTCAGAAAGACCTGGTCCTTCATGTTCTCAAAAATCAGTATCTTTTTTTTTTTTTTTGTCTTGAGTTGGGCATAGAAAATCAGCAGAAACATTTGAAATTTTGGGGTTTGTTACTGAACAAAAATTATTGGGTTTTGTCCAAAATAATGAGCATTACTTAAACAGACTTCTTCCAACTGTAAATACCTTCCTATAAAAGGAAGAGCTTCTAAAGACTAATTACTACGAGAGGGTGATACATGGGGGTCATTAGCACACAGACAGCAGTATTGATAATTGCATAAAAACATGCTCCTGCAATAGCATAATTTTAATTCATGACTACAAAATAAAAAAATAGACCTGCTCAGTTGATGTGGGGCAAGTAGTGGACATTGTCTACCTGGAATTCCCCAAGACTTCTGACACGGTTTCCCACAGCCTGCTCCTAAAGGAATTGATGCATTATAATCTAGACAAGGGGTCTGTGGTGGGTGGGAACTGGCTGACAGGCTGCACTCAGAGGGTGGTGAGAAACAACTCCTTCTCTAACTGGCAACCTGTCTCGAGTGGGGTCCTCCAGGGACCAGTTTTTTTAAATAACCTGTATGACATGTTCAAGCGTATCCTGACAAAATTTGACAATGACACCAAACTGAATGGGGAAGTTGACACTTCAGAAGGGAGACCCACCGTGCAGGGAGACCTGGACGGGCTGGAATAGTGGGCTAGCAAGAATCTTATGAAGTTTAATGATAAAGAAGTTTAATTTAAAGACAAATGTAAGGTCTTGCACCTGGGAAAACATAATCCAGGATCTACTGGCTGGGGAGTAGCTCTGTGGAGAGAGGCCTGGGGGTCCTGTGGACCCCAAGTACAACATGAGTGAATAGTGTGGCCAAGAAAGCAAAGAAACCCATGCTGGGTTGCATCAACAAGGGCAGAGATAAAGAATTCATTATCCTGTTCTACTCAGCACTTGTCAGACCACAACTGAATACTGCATTCAGCTTTGGTCTCTGCCACACAAAAAAGATGAGGACAGGCTGCAGAGAAGGGCCACAAGGATGACCAAAGGACTGGGAAGCTGCCATGTGAGGAAAGGTTGAGAGAGCTGGTTTGTTCATCCTTGAGAAGAACAGGCTCAAGAAGACCTTATAACTGTGTTCCAGTATTCAAAGCATGGCTCCAAAGAAGATGGAAACTCCCTATTTACAAGGAGTCACATGCAAAGACCAGTGGTAATGGATACAAGTTACTCTTGGGGAGAATATAATTGGACATGAGAATAATCAGCAGTTGGAATAATCACAGAATATGCTAAGTTGGAAGGGACCTACATGAATCATAATCCCCCCGAGAGGAGTGGTGGATTCCCCAACAATAGACATTTGTAAGATTTGGCTGGACAGGATAATGGGCCATCTTATGTCAACTTGCTTTTGCCAAGAAAGGTTGGATCAGAAGAGGGCCCTTCCAACCTGGTTTTCTAAGATTCTAGGAAAATACAACATACCGCATTTCCCATCATGGTGTAGGACTTCCCAGATCCAGTCTGTCCATATGCAAAAACACAGGCATTATAACCTTCAAAAGCAGATTTAAGCACATCCGTACCAAGATTTTTGAAAACCTAAAAACAAATGAAGTTTTTAAAGTCAACAAAAGTTTGGGGAAAAAAAAAAAATTGTCATCAGTCCAGCATGAAAAATCTTTAACAATACCAGAATACAATGGCAAACTACAGTGATATTTGCTATAGGAGAGGAAATTATACTTCAAAGAAAATATTAAGTCTTACTACCAGATCTAGTTTACAGCATTGCAGTGGTTTATTTTTTACTTCTTTTTCTGTCAGAGATCTACCTGGTGTCTCAAAGAACAAAAAAATGCTTTAGGTATAGCTCTAATTTCTTTCAGCAACCTCAGCTACTTCATTCACTTTCTGTTATTGTTAATACCTACTCACATTTTGTATCTTTGCCAACTCTCCATGTTCTGCAATTATGCAGTCCCTTCTCAAAAGGAAACATTACAGTGATCCTGCCAGTTTCTTGCTTTGTCTTTCTGGAGGGCTTTGGTTGGTTGGTTTTGGTTTTTTGCTCTAATCAACTATAAGAACATGGCCTTCCTTGTATTTCCTCCCTTACTGGCTTTTACATACCAATACTTTTTAGGCTGGCAAACATGGAAACTTGTTTTCTCTTTCATCAGCTCATCCCTTCTCTTTTGCCCTCATCATGTAAAAACTAGTAACAATCCCTCTTCCACATCCCATAATATGGGACTCTGTTCTCACCTAAAAGATTCAGCTTTCACCAGGTGCAGTCACCACCTTCCTCTATAGTACTGGCTCCAGTATCCCTAAAAAATACTGACCTTTCATTATCATTACCCCTTCTTTCAAACCATACCCCTCCCCGGTCCACTGAGCAAGGAGCAACACTTGGTGCAGAATTTCTCTCAATTAAAATATAAATCTGTGTCTCCCCACCTTGACATGACTTTCAAGAACCTCGTAGATGCTTCACATAGTTTGGTTGCTCCTCTGTACTATGTGTGGTTTAAATTAGCCAAGGAGAACAAGCCATTATTAACAGTGAATGGCGCACACACAGTGTAATCACGCTGCCTCTCCCTGGAAAGAGTGCTGGGTAATTTCCTTAATCACTAATCCTCAGTTGCAAACATGCCTTTGGAATACTTCACTTGACCTTCCCTTGAGCCAAGGAGCTAAAATGCTGTAACCAGTTACACTTCTCAAAGAGAAAGAGTATAAAGCTCAGCCAAAGTTCCTTTATTCTTTCCCTTGTTTTTCACTATATCCAAGTTGTTGCCATTTGGACCACTTTGTACACTATTGTTTTGACTGAATTTTCCCTTTCAAAAATCTGTGTATACCTTGCAAAGGGATTTGAGGTATTACACAGGATAGTTACAGTCAGTACTGTCTGAACACAAAGGCTTAACAAGAAAAGACACTGTCAGGATGGGACACCGGTTTGTCACAAAAGGGCCGTGAACCTCAAAATTCTATCTGTTTCTCTGTCAGGAATACAAACTAAGAAGCTTGATGGTAAATTGCCATCCCCACTTTAATTTCTGAATACCAAGGCATATTCTGCATCTACAAGGCACATTAATGGGCTATGTGGTATTAGACAGATTTCCACTTATTTCTCTGCCTTTCAAATGGAAAAATCCAACAATCATGAACAAAGGGCACCAGGCAACTGCATTACCGACAATCAAGATCAATTTTATTCCATGGTTAGATGAATGTGAATGAAAGATGCCCTTCTCCTATGCCATTGGTGCAGTAAACTGGAAATTCTGCAGCAACCTGATAAGAGCTTAACTACAAATTCTTTCAATTAAATATGAAATTAATAACAAAAGCAAAACAATAGCTTGTGCAGCATTTGTTTAGGAACTGGACTCCTATGGTTTAAAAACTTTTGTTTTCAATGTGCTGCACACATTCTAATTAAAGCAATACTTGAACAACAATACTTATGTGGCTGAGCAAGAGAAGTTTACACTCTTGCCAACAAGGATGAAGGAGGTGGTCCAGGGTTGTAGGACACACAAACAGCAGCGCATGGAACACGGACATCTGAACCATGTTTAGGATTTATTGTTACCATCCTATCACTACCAATCAGCTTTAAAGAAATCATGGCTCAAGGCTGCTGCAGTCATCCTTATATGGGCATTTTAATTCATTTTTTTTTCTATAGACTCCAGACTCAGACAGGTTATGCTGGTCTTTCCTTAACCTGACCCCCTCTGAAACAAGAAGCATAACGGCACAAAAAGGAAAAACTTTGAAAAGGGAAACTTATCACTTATATGTGGAAATTGGACATCAACACAGGATACAACTTGGATTTCTGTTTGTATGCATTCAGTTTTCCTTTGCTGTTTTAACAAGAATTAACTTCATTGTTTCACAGGTTCTGGAAATAACTTGCACTGTAACAGCAAGAGCCAAATGACACAATGGTTCTCTTCCTGGGGTTCCTCTAATGAGGTCTTGTCTAACACAGCTTTCCAGAAGTATCTTAAGTCACGTAAAGAAACAGCTACCTAGAGGATTCAAGAATTAAATATCCATAAACCTAAGCCACAATTGCTGCTTAAGAAGAATTTCTGTCACTACCTTTACAATACATTTTGCAGATTTTTGCAAATATGCTTTGATATATGATTAATACTATTTTATGGAGATGTGCTCCTCCATATCAAAAAGAGCTGAGAATATGCTGATCAGCTACCCCTGAGAATTATACGCATTTTCATGAAACTAAGTAATATCAAGCTGAGCCCCTCATCAATTTCTATGAGCAAACCTAAGGCAAATATTTGTTGTGTCTGTAGAACCACAAATGAGATCTCAAGCTTCAGGTAGAATCAGGGCAGAAAAATACAAGATCAAAGCTGCTTTAATTAGAATAAATAAATACCTCTCTGCATGCTCAACTTAAAGCATTTGCTAAAGTTCTAGCAAAGCCATATGGCCCGAAATGGCTGCTCAAAAATATTCACTAGAAACTTGGATTCCAATAATTGAATGTAAATACATCATTACTTCAATTTCCACAGTGCTGAAGTAATACGGGTATTTCTAAATAAAGGCCCGAATAAAGGTATACTTCTTGATATTTCAGAAAATATAGAAAAAATGTGTTACTAAAAAGAACATTATCAAGAAATAACAATAAAAAAAGTTTAAGAATATACATGATCAAATGTTTGAAGAAAACCAACTAATAGTTGATGAAATAAAAAAGAAGCTTTCAGAAAATAAGAGGACATACCACTACAACTGATGGTTAACAGAGAAATCTCATGTATAAATTCCCTATCAATTATAGTCATGATATATATAACAGCAAAGCTTGTCATACTCATAAATATTTAAAAATGGCTTCAACTCATTGTTTCTTACGATTAGTTTTAAATGTGAGGCTTTTTAGGATTAGCCATTACAGTATCCCTGATTTCAGTGGTTACAGAACAGAGGAGGTACATGCCAAAAAGGTAGGTACCCAGCTGGCTTACAGGATATTCAGCAAACCCTTGTATTATTTTAAGGGGAAAGAAATACTCTCACTTGAAGCTTACAGCACCAAAACCAAAGGAGAAGACAGCAATCACAAATCACTGGAATTTCATTTAACAAATTTATTAGGGAATGTCAAATAGCAGAAAGGTTCAATGTTCACATAAAATGAGAGGTCAGGGAGGGTCTGGATGTTCATCTGAATGATTCCTATAGCTCTGAGTTTGATTTTCTGTTCTGAGTGTGCAGAAAGAAAGACAGTTTTGTCCTTTCCTTAGCTGAATACTCAAGGGAGGAGAAAAATGAATCTCCTTCAATGTGTACCAAGACTTTTGGACAAAAAGAAAAAAAAAAACTTCAACCAGATAAGAAGAATGTTTCTGTCTAAGTGAATTAAAGATATGTGCTTGTTTCTCAGAAGTGATTTTTTTTCCAAAAAGCTTTTCAAAACCAAATTCGGTGCTCTGAGACGTTTTCTAACTTGACCTTACAAGGCAAATCAGACAAGAGAACTTGAAAGAAGGCATTTAGTCTGCCGTATTAGAAAACACAGCACTTACATTGTTAGATTAGTTTAAAAAAAAAAAAAAGGAAAACAAAGCAAACTTCAAACTCTCAGGTACCTAGGGAATTTCTAAATTACACAGGAAGCACTTCTAATGGAAAAAAGTTTCATGGAATGATTTCAAGCCAAAGAAAAGGGAAAGGAAAAAGATCAATTATTAACATTCAGAAATCCTACCATTTCTTGACAAACAAAGCTGGGACTTTTACTGTCTGCTGAGAAATAGGAAAAATCATAGGTAAATGTCTTCGTTCTTTCTCGTCCTGTGTCTCCAGTAGCACCCTCTGGTACCTATTAAAAAAGAAAAAAGAGCTGGTACAATACATGTTGATGAAGTAATTAAAAACATTTGACAATAAATGATCAGAATGCAAATTTAACATGAGGCTATACACATTTAGAAATTTATGATGACAGGTTGGAGTATTATTCCAACAGCACTAATATAATTAGCAAGAGATATGCCCTTCAGCAAGGACAGCCAAGTCACAAAACAGCACAGCAGGAATAATTTGGGTTTTAGTTTTCTTCTCCAACCACCACAGTACGGTTTTGTCAAAATACAAAGTTCAGTTAAAAGCAATCCTGTATATAACATTATAACCAGGGATTATCCTACACATATAATTTATAGGAGCCAGAGAGACCTTTGCACCATGAACAGCACTTCAGGGTGGAGTCATAATTAAAATGGTGTTACATACCCACTGCTCAAGACATGACAGCTGGCACTACACCTCTGCAATATTCACTGTGATCCAAATCAGCCTGAAGAAACTACACGCTGAAACTCCTACACACTGAAATTCCTTTTTGGGTATTGGTCACTGGAAACTATCTTGCAAAAACCAATTTGCTGTGTGACTTCTCTTGCTGGGAGTATATTATTAAAATATACCATCAAAATGTTAGAGCAAGTGATGGGTACTTTGGGTTTGGCTCATTTCCACAGGAATTCCAGAAGACTTTTTCTAGATAAAGCAATGGTTTAATAGCTATCAGGCACATACCTCTTCCATTGTTGGCTTTCATCTTCCAGATAAATAATGATCAGAGTGATAAACCTTTGAAAAAACTGATGGGATACAGCCTGTAGGGTGGTTTTCAGAAAACCACAGTGCAGGAAGTTAACAATGTAACTTGTTTCCCCAAAAGATTGCTTTAACATGGTATTTAAAACCTAAAAGCTGTGCTCCACAGTGCAGCAAGCACCACTGCTTTGTCCACTCATATTTTGGTGACTAGCCAGTTAAAACCTACTTTTTAAAATTATGTTTACTCACCTTTAAGTTTGTGATTGTTGTTTTATTTTTTTCCATTGAAATAATAAACTTTGCATTTAGGTCTTTCTCCCTGAAAAAAATAAAATTAAAAAAAAAAAACCCTTTAGTATGTTAAATAGAACACCACAGTCATATTTCCACCCACGAGGTTGCTTGCCACAGTCACTTATCAAATTAATTCATTTTTTATTGCATTTTGTAACTGCTGTGACCAATGTTTATTTATTCCTATGGCATATATTTGAAGTATTTGGGCTTGCCTCCAAGTCCCTTCACCTAGAAATAGAGCAGAAGCTTGGGGAAACCCACTTCAGAAACTGAACTCTGCAAGTCAATTAAGTGGTTTGTCCTTAATTTAAGGTACTCTGATCCAAAGCCCAGTGAAGTCAATTAGGTGATTCTAAGAAAGGGAAAAATAGAATACTGTAAGATAAGCCCTGGTCTCTCACCACCATTCCAGTAGCAGCAGTTCCCACTTTTCCATGCAGCCTAGGGAAGAGGGACTAAATGTTTAAAACCACAAAAGCCTAGTATTTTAAAACTCTCTTAGAAATAAGGTACCAAACATATTTTTTGAGCTGTGATGCATCACAGCAGTGCAGGAGAGAAGCTCTGGTACCAATAGTGTTACACAGGTTAGTCGCTTCCCAGAAAGAAAAAAGTTGTTCTTCCCAGGAAGAAAAAAAATCCAGTTCTGCAGCAGCATGTTCATGCACTGGAAGCTATTTCACATCATCGGTTTCTGACTGTTTTCAAAACTATCACAAAAAATTGTAAGCTTAGTGTCAAAAACCAGCACGTTCCAAACTGCCTTCTGGAGATGGGATTTTGTTATCCTTAGTCATAAGAGCAGTACAGGCTGCTCCTGAATGGCAACCTCGAGAAAAACACCGCCTGTGCTCATAAAAACATGCACATGGAAGAAAGAGCCAGAAGAGGAAGATACACAGCACACAAAATCTCACTCCCCAAATGCCAACAGACACACCTGTCCCAAAACCATCTGCCAAGTCACCTGACAAACTGGTGTGCCTCACTGGAGCAGAGGAAAGCACCAAAGAAAGAAAAGCATTTTATTTACTAAAAAACTATTTATAAAAAAATTTAAAGCAATAAAGTGCTGCTTTACCGTATCACACAATATCTCAACAGCTACTGGATATTCACTTGCACCAGCCCAAATTGCAAAAGAGAAACTCCTTCCCACTAAGAGGAGACCCAAGTTCAGGATTTTAGTGTGACATTTCCTTCCTCATGGTGCACTGGATCACTCAACTCTGTGTTCCTCCAGCTGACACTGCAGCCATCCTCCATTCATATTAAATTTTTTTCAATACTAAAGAAAAGCAAAGCCCATTTTAAAATCTAGATTAATGAATAAAGATTAGGTAAACAAAAGCGCTTAATTAAATATCAACACATTAAGTTATTTTCTAAGCTAATAAAAGATATAATTGTAATTATTGTAACATTAATTATAAAACTGAATTTAGATCTACCAGAGAAAAATTTGAGGAATGCCTTGTGATTATTAGATCTACATTTAAGATACTGAAATATACAGCAACAGGTAAAAAGTGGGAAATGGAGAAGAAGTTTCCAATGATGGGCTTTTTGTAGGAAACAGATTTTGGCATTGCAGTAATGCAGCCTGTGGATGGCTGCCATTCATCCTGCTTCCTCCAGAGTCTCTGCTTGTCTGTAGGTATTTGCTCAGCAGAAATGTAATAATAATCTGCCCAATTAAATGGTAAATCCTACTATGAAAATCTGTTTCAAATATAAACTGTAACCTGCTTCCTCTAGGAAGCTTGTAAGGACTCTTGGCAGGAAGCAGTTTGGGTCAGAATTATTGCTTTTTTATCTAGATTTCTTCTTGCTTGAGGTGTGCAAAGTACGTCATGCCTTCTTTCCCAGACCAAGCCAGCTCTCCATATTACTCACCTAAAGGTACTCAATAATGGAAGACTGATACAAAATGTTTCAAGTCCAACACCCACATATGAACTCCACAAAATTCTGAGAAGCCTACAGTAATTAATTTTGTGATAACACTGATAATATTAATAAACATTATTAAAGAATGGGGAATTTCAAAGTAAAAAAAAAAAATTGCCTTGTAAAACACTAGCCAATAATACAGTTCATAAATAGAACTTTGCATTTTTGTAGGAAAAGGGATAGAGAGAGGACAATCTAATACAGGAATACTATGATCAGAATCAATAAGCCAACCAGAGAGAAATGACAAAAAATTAACAGGAATCAAATGCTAAAGCATCACTTTAAAATGAGACAGCTGAGTATAATTTATTGTACCCACAAAAGAGTTTGAGAGCATCCCATAAAAAACAATTGCTTGCATGACATCAGTTATTTCCAGGCACTCATTTAATGCAGCTCAGCAGGGGCCAAATCACTTTCAAAAAGTTTTGATTACAAGTTCCACCTTAATTATAGGTTCAGGCTATAAACAGCTGTATTGCAGTGTTGGGTAACCTTCTGAGAACCTTCAGGGCAGGAACCACCAGCCCTACCTCATCCAGAGAACCAGCCCCAGCTACTAAGCCAAGACTGTCCCCGTAAATAGCAGCCCCTATCACAAAGCAACATAAAGAGTCCAGCTGCCAAAGATGGTTCACAATTAATGCTTTGATGATTTAAGAATTCCTGCTTCCCCCTAGGCCCAACCTGCTCACAAAGCAGCACTGAGAGCTGGCCTCCTGGCTTTTCTCCCTGCTGTTTCACACACCACGTGGAGTTTCAGAATCACAAGAGAAGGAAACCTATAACCCGTGATCCCATGGCCCTTAACCAAATGACACAGTGATCATGCAGGCAAGTTTCTTGGCACAGACACCAGGAAATGTATCAGCCCAGTGTTGTTATTAACTCCACTATTGCTAAATTGAGCTGCTCATCCAGCAATTCACTGCAAGGTAGAAAGAGGAAAAGTAAAAAAAAAAAGAAAAAAAAATTCAGAAAAAACACTTCAGATAATACTGACACTTGAATATAGAACAATGCCAATGTTAGGATCAAGATAAGATTAAAAGAACTAGTCTTGTAACTGACTTGCCAAATGGCTTACTTAGGCCAAGTTTCAATAATTTCCTCACAAGGGGCTCATGGGTTGCAAAGAACTGCTCCAAACTGAAGATGATCCAGCAGCTGTAGGAAAACATGGCAGCTCCATGAAAAGGGCCCCAACAGAGATACCTCTGTTTCTTTCTCTCTTTCCCTTACATTCCCAGCTTATTTTGAGGACAAAGACCAGAGCAGTTTTTGCATCCCCATGGGCATCTAGTTGAAATCATACCACAGACAGCCAAATATTAGCAGTATCTCCAGATTTCAAGGCAACTTTCAATGACCCTTGTTCATTAAGTCTTTTATCCATCCCAAGACTTTTTGAAGATACTCCCACAGAGAGAAGGGAGAAAAGCATGAAAAACCACTGTGACCTCAAATATAAACCAACAAGGGAAGCTTTACAGAAAGCTCTATTACTGATGTGCAAAATCTCTTTGGTCTTCTTCCAAGTTCATCTTTAAGTTCCTTCCTTTAAGGTCCTTCAATGGAAAATTCAGTTATTTAAACAGTGGGTTTTTTATGAATCCTTTCAGTATTATTCAGACACTAGAGCATTTACGACAGCTAAACCCATTAAATATTAATGATATTATGATTTCCATTCAATTGACACTAAGGGAATCAGTTGTGATTACCTGTCAGACTCTGCAAAGAGAACAGAAAGAACAAGATGTGTTTCATCTGAGGTGTGGGAGGGGAAAACCAAAAAGGACCAGGCAGAAAGTGCCAGCTTTCCCAAATATTGTTTCAAAAGATGCCTTCAGCAAACCCACAAGGCTGCAAAGCCAAGGTCACTGGCACTACCTGAGCTGCCAGCAGAGCACTCTGTGTCAAAACAGAAAGAGGGGCTGTAAAATACATGCTTGGAAACTCACTTAACTGTAGACACTTAATGAAAAATCTACTGGAAGAGGATTATATTGAAGGCCAGATGTGTGATTTTGTTCCTCAACCACCCCAAAACATAGTCTGAGTTTCATAAAAGCAACTCATGCTCAAAGGTTTTTCTTTTCAGCAAAGTGTCTCCTACTTGTTACGCTCACATTTTAGGCACAATGTTAGATATTTCCTGTTCTATCACTCTGCTTGTTCACTACCCAGGTGTATTTCTGGGGTCACAAAGCAAAAGAACGAAGGTTGCTTAATGACCAGGAGAATTCAAGCTAAATTTAACTGAAAAACCAGCACAAAGTGTGGCACAGAAAGAATCCTGCATCTTCTGGTAGCTGGATAACAAAGTAACTGTATATTTGCCCTCATGTCCCATTAAATTACACAGACCAAGAGCACTTTCCTTTGTCTGAGTAACTCTTAAGAGGGAAACATCAATACAACTGCACACTTTAAAAGGTCAAGCAAAAACCCTCCTACACAAGAAATTCTTTGTTACTTTCTGTAACTACAGGAAAAGTGATATTGTTGCAATCTGAAGTATCACACAATTTCTCTTTCCCATCCAGAGGTTTTTGTTTGAGGGTGGGGGGGGGTGGGGTAACAACTTCTATCCTTACTAAATTATTTTGTAATAAGTATATTTTTTTAAAATGTGTTTCCATATCTAAGTGCAGATAAAAACATAAATCTGGTGGTCTGCAAATAAAATATCTTCAACACTCTTTGGGTTAATTTTTTCCATAATCAGCAGTAACAAGTAGTTTCAATGTAATGCTGGCTGAGATTAAAACCAGAACAAATCAAGCAATCTGATATAATCCCAGGATTCTGGGAATTCGCTGTGGCTTGGGTTACTGGTATAAAATTCACAGTTGTCTCCACAACAGGGCAATAGCCCAGCATATCCTAAGCTCAAAGTGACCCCACAGTGCTGACTGAAACTGCTACAAGCCCATAATTAAACTACATTTACACCAGTGTAGTGTAAAACTTAACATTGTAAAACTACACATTGTACACACAAGTGCAATCAGATGTCCTTTGGTCTCGGTTTGAGGGGAATTCTGGATGGATCCAGTGATG